AGAGACCTGCGTGCTTGGGTTTTCATCAGAGGAATTTTAATGAGCCCTAAAGGTTAGCCTTTGACTTCGTTAACCAACAGCACCAGAGATAATTTCTAATTTTCGGTGTTTATAGAACAGTGGCTCCTTGGTCATAATCAAGTTCTGAGACTGTCTAGAGCCCATTCTGTGTGTCTAACTGACGCTGAAGCACAAAACCATCAGAAAGTCTCAGACATGTGCTCAAAATCAAATATGGAAGAAATAAAAAAGAGGAAGAAATTTCTCAAATTAAACCTATTGCATTAACTTTCTCTGATGAAATCAGTTCAGTCGAATGAAAAATACTTATTAAAATACTCTACACAGATATTTTAGCTGGGTAGGGCACTGTTTGTTCTAATATTGAAATGGATAGAGACAAGGAAGAAGATATGATAAACAAAAGAAGAAAGCTTCACTCCCAGTAGCTAGAAATCTGACTTCCTGCTACACACATATGGGTTGTAGATGTGTAGGAAAGAATACAGAAGCAAAAACTGCCAAAATTGCCACTAGGGGATAGGTCATTTTGCAGGTAATATGTCCCTTCTCTTCTCTCAGCTTCCTTCCCTCTCTACTGCACCCTTGAAGAATTACATCAATGCTCCCAAAGGGAAAAGGTACCACTAGATTCCAGCCACATAAAACAAGGGCAAAGAGCAGTGAAGACAAAGAGCTATGTCCAGAGATTTGTCTTTTCTCCAAACTGGGGGGGAAATTCTTCCACTTCCCTGAAAGGATTATCTGTCTCCCCATGGCATAGAGACCAACAGCAGATGCTGGAGCTACAAACGCTGGGAGAATATTTTTCTTTTAGCTTATTTAATGTTATGCTAAATCTTATTTCTTCCAGTGCAACAAATCCCTTTTCACCCCCCTCCCCCACTTTCCTTCTTGATTTGCAGAGGAATGGAAGGGATTAAAAAACAGAACAAAACAGACAACAACAAACAAAAATGCTAACAGAGTTGGCGTAATCTGTGCCATGCAAGGGTGCAAGAAGTTAAGGAGTGGGGGTCCCTGCCAGGAGACACTCTGGTCAGGTTTTGGCACATTGAATGGTGAGCTTAGGGGATGGCTGACCTGCGCTTCAATTTCAATTTTGCATTTTACTCCTTATTCCCCATGTGACCCTCGTAGGGCAGTCAAACCCAGAGAGTTAAAGGTTTTTCCTAGGATAAAAGGGATTAGAAGATTCAGGTAATATTTCATCTAGCAGGAAGCTGCAGGATTATTTAGTTAATTTTCCTTATGTGATAGGCAGAAAACTGAATAGTAAAATGGAATACAGCGATATGAATAATTATACTTCTTCTTTTTGAGTACTTAATTTGTGCTAGTCACTATTGTAAGCATTATACAAGTATTCTATTAGCACAATAATCTCCACTTGGAAGGTAGTATTGTTATTCTCATTTTGTAGGTGGGTAAACTGAGATGGAGTGAGGTTCAGTCATCAAGATGGTACAGCTAGTAAATGGTGGAGCTGGGTTTAAACCCCGTGGCCTGGCTCCAGAACTCTTTCTCTTAAATACTAAACTCTAGTAAGCTGAGAATTCTCCATTCAACCTCTTTTGCACAGGAGTGCACCCATCTCAGGAAAGAGGGTGCTGCACGTGGTCCCGAAAACACATCCCTAAAGAAATGTATTCCTAGTATTATGGTAATGGCCAAAGTATGTACTCTGTTCCCTCCAGGTTCCTCAGTGTGACACATTCCCTTCAGCCAAGTTTTCTCCTAATCCACTTTCAGAGGGACAGTGCAGTCCTCCCAGGATGCCCTGCTCTATATGATGTCCTTCCCAAAGTCAGATTGCCACTGCCCTCTGTCTGCTGAGGGTCTCTCTTCCCTTCTCCCTCTGTCTTATTCTTTCTTTAACCATTTCCTTGAAATTCACTTGAACCCTATTACACAGCCAGCATGACACTATTTCTCTCTTCCAGCACCACCACTTGCACATCTTTTGTTAGCCCTTATGGATCAAAACTGCTTCTCAGAGCAAAAATAAATGGCAGAGAGATCATATCAGAATAAACACCTCTGTTGCAAAAGACAGTCCCCTCTGGATAGTTAGGCAGAGAGCTGATTGGGCAAGGTGGGTTGCAGGATAGTATACTTATACTCATTGGTCGAGAGAGGAGACTACAGTTTGCAACATTAGCTCTCATTGGCTATCATTATCCAGAGTCTGGGACAAATATGTTTGTGGTATATGGTAATGGATGGTTGCAGAAAGGATAATATCATTAATATTAAGTTACTGTTGCCTAGAGAAGTGTTAAATAGGCGATGTGTGTTCCAAGCTCAGAACTTGGTGATTTGCTTCAAGTTGAAAGGAGGTAGGTGGTAGAACCCTTGTATAACCCAGGCCTTCTATTTCTTAGGACACTGATTTGCCATGGAATGACTCCCAAGGATTGTGAGGAACAATTGAGATGAAATAATAAAGCACACTATGACAAATTCCAGACACCTGGACATGGCACATAAGGTCCTTTATGATCTGGTCTCACCTACCATTTAGCCCCATATTTCATGTCTGTTGAGGTGAATATTTCCCCATTTCCTTCTCCTTACCCCTCCCCCTGTTGTAAATACCTACCATCTTTCAAGCTCTGTCCTCAAAATTACTTTCTCTGCAAAGCTTCCTGACTTCTAGCATTTTCCATAGTTCACTAAACCCTGACCATATTGCATCAGAATTGATTGATTATCTCTCTTTCTCCCCTTCTCAACTAGGGATTCCTTGAAGGCAGAGAAAATATTTTACTTATCTCTGTATCTTCAGTGCCCGGCACAGGATCTGGAATCATTTTATTTACTTAATGAATATAGAAGGAAGGAAAAGAGGGAGAGAGGGAAGGTAGATCCTCTTGAAATTATAAAGCATTGTAGAAATACACATTATTATTAACAAGATAAAAAGACTCACTCTTGGATGCCCTCCTACTGTGTAAGAAAGAGCATACTGTTTTCACAAGCACAAAGCTCAGGCACAAAACAGAGGCCAAGGACAACACCTGAAAGGCAGACTTCTCACTCCTCATATACATGCCTGATGAAGAGGCACACAATGTCCCAAGGCAGAAAGAGTGCCCTTAACCAATGCCATTCACTAGCAGTAATTTGGTCAGCTAAAGAATCATAAGACCTAAAGAACACCAAGGCTTAAGGAAACTGTTTAATTAATGGTACTAAGAGATTTGTTTTACCAGGCAGCATGTGGTTAAGTGTACTGAAATACAATCACAGAACATTTTGTCTGGTCATCCTCATCTGAGGGTTTTAGAAAAAACAGGAGAGAAAAGAGCCTCTTCAGGGATTTTTTCCTTACAGGACAATTTTTACAAAAAGCTGAGTGTACAACTTGCAAAATAATAAGCTTCGGTGATAACACAAGCTTCAGCTACAATTATCACAAAGAGCAAGACTGCCGCTCAAGCTTCTAACTTATCCTTGTGTCTACAGAACGGTCCAAAATGTCACATTTGAGTTGAAGTGACTATAGCCAATTAGGTAATTTCCACCAAATTGAGTCCATTAATACTTGGACATTATCTTGAGGAAGAAATAGGACTTGGTGACAAGATGCAATGTGGCTTGTGAAATATTAGTTTTGGACAATCACAAATCAAGATCCAAGGGTATGTTAAATTATTCAGTATTCTTGACCTCATTATTAAGTGACTTCATATGGTTTTTTTCTCTTCACATTTATATAATCTCAGGATATAAGGAGCTTGACTTTTTTTCCTTTATTTTTTAAAATAAAGATATATACAATGTCTTTATTTTTTAAATCCTGTTTTACAATTTAAAGGACAATGGCTACAGTTTTGTTTGAGGAACACACAATAGGAATGCTTGTTCATACAATGACACCTACCAGAAATAAAAATATCATTTAGAAATCTGGTTTTCATGTCCTTCTTTGCTAGCACATGATCTTAGGTAATACAACACACTTTCAACCAAACATCTGCTTCGGTCTACCGTGCACAGAACCAAAAGCTGTGATTTGTAACATATGGCTTTATAAACGAGTCAGAACTTGAAGGCCAAGCCTCTTTCTGGAAGTGTTCTAAAACGATTGCAACAATATTATTTTCCAAGATAATGGGAGAAAGGCACAAGAACACTCCAGGAAGATCATGTACCAAAGATGTTTGTTGACTCCTTTTCCTTTCAAAGATGTTTGGAACAATTATCAGCTGATGTCAACAGGATTTCTACAACAAGGAAATGTGTTGGCAATGTAAAACCTTAGTGTTCTTATAAATTCTAGAGAGCATCAGTCAACTGATTAATCATCCTAAGATATTTAAATTAATAAGTTATAACATTTCACTGGGGGCAAAGCAATGATATGGACCTGGAACATGAACATCATCAGATAATGTGACTGAATCAGTGAACATTTGCCAAATAAAAATATTTTTTATGAGAACAAAAGAAATTAGACAGCATTAGGCTAGCTGCTCATGGGACACATGGTTAGAGCAGTTTCTTCTGGTGGATCTATTTATTTTGTAACTTTCCTCATGATTTGGACCAAAACAAACACTTTGAAGACAGAGACATAGAACTCCACTTCATCATATCCCTACCAGATGGGACCAGAGCAGGTGTAATCACTTTAAAGTGTTCTTCTCTATAAATCAACTTCTGATTTATTCCAGAATGGAGCTGTCAGCCCTTAGGCACCCACTGAAGTTGAGAATTTTTAGCAAACTAAACACAGGCATTAAAATAATGTTTGAATTAGTTTTAATCACAGTGGCCTAGTTTCCCCAGGACCCCACTGTATCTCTTCCATGTGTGAGACCCATGGGAGGGCTGCACATGGAGAAGACTCACCAGAGTGCAGAGCAGGAAGGAGAATTTAGGTCAATTACCTTTTGAAGTGTGATCCCTTTAAACAGCTACTCAAGGTAGTATCTTGCTAACGGAGCCGTATATAATAAAAGTGACCTGTGCTATTTCTTTAAATACTGCCTTTTAGTTGTAAGCGATCAAAGTATTAAATTTGTGTAAGGAAAAAAAAAAAAGATCAAGAGAAGTTTCATCCGTGTTCTTTCTGGAATCTATTAGGAAGGATTAGGTATGTAGTTTACCTCTCTTAAAGTCTAGGCTTGAAAGTAGGTGCCTCCAATTCAGTTTCTTCCAGCTGAGTCTTTGTCTTCTCCATCTGTAAATTGAGGAGACAAGTAGTTTAGATGTCACCTTGGGACCTTGGCTAGATACATGAAAGCACAAAATCATGAATTTATGTGCTGGTGGGGCATGGAGGCAAAGAATGTTTGCTACGGGCCCATTCCTCAAAATTTTCTTAAAAAATGTATTGTGTTTGGAATTATGTTTTATTTTAAATTTATTTTTCAGTTATAGATGGACACAATATCTTTATTCTGTTTATTTATTTTTATGTGGTGCTGAGGATCAAACGTAGTGCCTCACATGTGTAAGGCAAGCGCTCCACGCTGAGCCACAATCCCAGCCCTGGATTTATTTTTATTAGCTCTTGGAGAACAAAAAAAATTTATTAAACTATAAAGAACAAATTCACAGACTTTTTTTAAAAAAATTTTTTTTAGTTGTCAATGGATCTTTTATTTTACTTATTTATATGTTATGCTGAGGATCGAACCCAGGGCCTTACACATGCCAGGCAAGCACTCTACCACCGAGCCACAACTCCAGCTCCTCATATATATTTTTTAATCTTTAAAAACTAGACAACATACTGATATGCTCATTATTTCATCTAGTAAATTTTTTTATTGGGCACCTACTGTAGGTCAGACATTGTGAATGTTTTTGGAAAGACAACAATATCTTAATCTGACATCTGAGTTCAGGGGAAAGAAATAATGTCAACAATTTTTGGAATTAGGAAGAATGCTTTCAACTATGGAATAGCTGGACTTACTTAAAATATGAATATAATTTTATTAAACTCTTAGTATTTAAAAAATGCAGAGTAATAATTTAAGAAAAAACTCCTTTGCCAATAATTACTAGGATCAATTTCCTACTCGTTCTTTTGGACATTTTCTATACATACATATGTAAACAAAGCAGTTTCATATAAATGTGTTAACAGATTCTATATCCTGATTAGTAACTTTTTCTTCTACTTATGGGTATTTCATGAACATCTTTCCATGTCAGTTTGTATATACCAATTCACCTCTTTCTAATATTCCATATTTTAGGATGCCAAATGTATTCATGGCTAATAATAAGGAATGGCAAGCAAGTATTAACTAAATGTGAAAATAATTCTGAATTTAGGTTATTATTTTATGAACAACATCCTATCCTATCATGTATAAGATTGACCTTTTTACAACATGTCCGTGAACAATTAATTAATCAGATGTATTATTAAAATGTATTTTTTTTAGGATGGAAAAATAAAAAAGTGTATTTAATTAAAAAAATCAGAAAGTCTCATTTGAATTATTAAAATGCTTTGTTACTTTTAGTTTCATGTCAGGGCTTAAGAAAAAGCAAATGGTCTCAAAACAACATGGTAAAGACAGAAAACCTATAGATCCTTAAGGAAAATGATGTAAAAATTTAAAGCATTACTGACAAAATTAATTGCTTTGATGGTTATAAAATAACACACATTTACTGTAGAAAATGTGCAGCCATATAAGGAGAATTAAAATCACCCCAAACCTAAAATTCAGAAACAACTTAATATTTCCTCCTAGTCTATATGCATGCACATACATTGAAGAAAGCCTAGAAAGAAAAAAAAGATAGATAGCTTGTATTTATGTAAGTGCATATGTATTTCTGTATGTATGTATTGAACTATTTGCAGGGTTTGTATTTAGGTATTCTCCCTTTTGATAGAGTGAGTCAGCAAAAAATATTGTTTAATAAAGTGGAAAAAGTGGGTTTATTTCAGGCCTACAAAGAACTGCACCAATGAAATGATAAGAACCTGTTTTCTGTCATTGCTTTTCTTCCAACAAGCTTATGGGTTATTAGAAAAATTTAAGATGGCTTTCGAAGATGAATTAGTTCCACGCTGAATTTCAACAAATATCCAACAGTGAGAGCAAAGCACAAAATCCATTAAGCCTTGTGACTGTTCATTATGAAATTCTGAATTTTAACCATCTCGAAATGTAATCCAAGCTCAGAGTTATTTTGAATCCCTCAAGACTGTAAATGCCAAGTAGAGCAAGGACCTTGTTTTCAAGATAGGAAGCCAGAGGCAGAGGAGAACTCCTTGCCTTCCCTAAGGGCTGAAGTTTGTAGGCTTGCCCAGTACCAGGTTCATTCACCCTGGGGGCAGTGGCTTGCAGAGAATTGTCATTTCCCTTCCCAGGTAACTAGAAGGATGGCTTATCTAGCTGCTTGTACACATACATGCAACCCCAGGTCATCTTCCCACAATGCCAGCCTCCCCCAACAGAAATGCCCAGGAGTATGGAGGAAATAATGTCCATTCCCTCTGACACTCAATCACTTAAACACAAACAAGTTAGCTGACAAGAGAGTTTTCACTCCACTCTTTGGTGGAATGAGGAAGTCAGGGTACAGAAGGAGAGATTCAGATGAAAGATATTTTAAAAAGACAATCTCTAGAAGTTCATTATTGGGGCCATTAAGGGAGGATCCAGGCTTTGAGGCCTTTGGGGTCTTTCATTTACTCAGCCAACAAATATTTAATGAGCCCCTATTACGTGATAGACACAGTGTTAGTGGCTGAGGACGCATCAAAGAACAAAACAGACAAAAGTCTATGTCTCAGGGAACATGCATTCTAGTAGGAGGCTCTGACAGTAAAGATAACATGATAAATGCTACAGGAAAAGAAAATAGAGCAGGAAAAGAAGGATTGGGAGTGGGGAGTGGGTTGTAGCTATGGTTTTAAGTAGAATGACTAGGAGGGGCATTACTGAGAAGGTGACATTGGAGTTAAGACAGAGAGGGTGAAGGAATGAGTCATTTAGATAGGGAGTAAAGAGGGTTTCAGGTGGAAGGCAAAGCCAGTACGTACTAAAGGCTCTGAGGTGGGAGCAGGGATAAGATCTGAGATGTAAGGGGGTAGGGAGGAGGTATGTATGGAGGACCCTAAATATTAGGACTTTGGCTTTCCACTTGGGGCCAAACTCTTATACTACCATTTGCCAAAGGTCACAGGTTGAACATCTCTCTGAACTCTCATTTCCTTGCCTGTAAAATGGGGGATCTCATTATAAATTATTATTTTGAGGACTAAAAGAGATCTACAAAATACAAAACACAAACTCTGGCAGGTGATATGTTTGCAATATTGGTTCCTATATTCCGCTGGGTATGGTTTCGTGCATTTTATGTGTCTATTTAACAAATGTCTACATAAACAAAGAAGGATGAGGGGACTGACCAATAGTTACCCAGAGGTAGGAATCCAAAATCCAGGTAGATCTTAATTTTAAAAAACAATAATAATTTTCCCCCAAACCATAAAACCTGGACCCTCACCAGGACAAACTCATTGCTTTGGGAGGTGAACTGAGGATTCAAGCTGGCCAAGGAATTAAATCTTGGATATGTTACCCATTAGTGAGGACTGACATATTAGTAGAAATGTACAGGAAAATCTCATTATTTTCTATTTCCATTGAGTGTCTATTTCAAGGTTAGAATAAAAATGCTTTCTATCCTTCTGGGGGACATCTGAACATTCAAACAATACCAGATAAAATGATCAGCTTGCAAACTTTTGAAAACACCACTACCTGCAGAGTTGAAAGGGCCTCTGTTAGATACCAATCTGATCTGCGTTAACTTTTTTAATATGATGGTAGCAGTTTCTCTGTTATGTGATGTTATCATTAGAGTTTTACTGGAGTTCACAAAAATCATTTTCTAAGTTTCCACTTGAACTCAGTTGCTATAGAAGTTCAACATCAGTGGGGGATGCAATTAGTTAGCTAGTTATTATGACTTGACTTAGTACATTTTTTTAACAAAAGGAAAAAAATGACAAAAACTTAAAATAATTCTATAGATATATACAAGTGGCTCCTTTTTCTCATAGATCATTAGCACAGTGGACAGAATTTCAGAGAAGCCACCAATACTTATGACACCTGTCCTGTTACATGATTACACAGTTGCTGTGTTGAAAGGTCTAACAGGAACCATTTTAATAAAAATTATAGAGTACTTAGCATCGCAGGGCCTGAATCTATGGGAAGAATTAAAGATGCATTCCTTTCTGTAGGTAAATAGCAACTGCATAGAAGTTCTTGCCAAGACAATTAGTTATACCCCCTCTGGGTATGATATTCTGCTGGCTAAAGACTCTTTTAGAAGCTTTTAAACATATTTGCCAATGAATTTCTCCAGGGAAACACTTATCTCTGTTGACTATCCTACAAAGTTTTCGCTGCTTTTAAGCACTAATGTATTATTTGGCCTCTACCCTCTGGTCTGGATTCTAGAGTTTACCAAAAATCTGTGCTATTATCTATTTAATCTGATAAGGAGTTTTCTTATGATTTTTTTTTTGTGCCCTATGTTACATGCCCAATAAATGTTGAATGAATGAGTAGGAAAAAATTTTCACTCCCATTTTCTTCTATTTATCCTATTACAAATCAAAGATTGAACATATATACACATATTGTTTATTTATCTAATATATATACATATCAAATTATATGCATATGTATATAACAATGTATATGTATATATGTAAATACCAAGACTTACATAAATACATGAAGTATCACTATTTTTTTTAAAACATATATACCCAAATTTATAGCTCCAAATGAAAGTTGTCCTTTCTGATATCATATGAAGTCACAGTCCATCTATTTCACAGATGCAAGTGAAAACCTTGGGAATCTCTTCTCTGGGAAGTTTTTCATCTCCTTTGACCTTTATTTTAGATAGTATCATTGGTGGTAAATCTTTACTACTTTGTCTAAAAGTAGCTAAAAATCATTTGGGACGAATTGAAATAAACAGGTCAATAAACTGGATAATGCTATTCTTTACCTAAAAATATTATGGAGGATCTTAAAGCAATGTGTTAGTATTTTTTAGTATGGCTTATAAATTGCTTTACAAAAGAACTTCATTGAGAAATAATTAGCATATCATATAATTCACCCATTTAATATATATAATGCAATGATTTGCAGTGAAGCCATCATCATGGGCAATTTA